AGGACTGGACACCCTGCAGACACACTGACCTCCCCAGGATGACTGGGATTAGACACCCTGCAGACACACTGACCCCCCAGGACCAGACCAGCAGGTGCATAGATTTTCCTATTCAAATGCCACTCAGACCCACTCCAAACCTGTTTTTTGTGGAATCATTTTTGATCTCCTGGAATTAAACTATGATCACAAATACTGTAATAAAACAGCAATACAATTAAACAAAAGGCAAACAATATATTATTTACGCCCTTGACTTTGTCAGCAGCAAGGGAGGAATACAAATTACCGACGGGCCTGCGGGTTGCAATTCAAGCAACATACAGGCTCGGAGATTTACAGTCAACAGCGCAGGCTGAAGCGTAGCTGGGGCACAAGCACAACCACACCTGCAGGTTTAATCAGAGCAGAAAAAGCACAAAGCCTTCTACTACCGAACTGTGAAGGGTTCATGTCCGACCACCTTCCTCACTGCCAAACAGCCAGGACACACGGAGACTTTGCAGACAAAGATTCTGCAGAACAGGCGAGCGTTCGATCGCTCCTCCGTTCCCCCCGCCCCTGGCCAAAGACACCTGGCTCTCTTCTACTGGAACTAAACAAAGGACGTCCTCTTCTGACCGCTCCCACGCAGGGCGACCAGCTGATCGATCGCCAGGGACCCCTCTGCCACCGGGGGAAGGGGCAGGGCCGTGCGGAGGGGGCCGTTAAAGAGCCGCCGCAGGCCAGGACTCTGCCGCAGAGATCTGTGCGCGCGGCAGAGACGAGACACAGAGCCCGGCGGGTTGGGGGCCGTACCGCCGAGGCCCCGAGCAGCTGTCTCGAAAACGCGCGCCGCTGGAGGGGAGAGCAGGAAGTCTGAACGGGGGCCACCGGCCAGGGGAGCAGGCTTTTAAAAATAAGAATCAGCTGGGAGGCGCGAGCCGGCCAAGCGCTGGGAAGAGGAACTTCCTGTCCGCCTGCTGCAGCCGGACACCTGCGCTCGAGCGGAGTGGGGGGGGCAGATTCCAAGCAGCCACGCCCTGCTCAAAGTGCGTCATCATCCGACTTGAACTCTGCACCGTGCTGGAGAGAAGACTCCACAGCCATTCCCCGGCTAGAAACCATCTCCACGGCGGGGCTGACTCTGGGAGCAGGCACTTTCCATTCGCAGGCGGCGGGAGCAGCGATCCCCCTCTCCGCACCGGAAACGCTGGGAAACTCAGCGGATGACCCTGGGGACATCCCGACTCGCCCCAAGCCGGGCTGCTGGCTTCTGCCTTGATTAGTCCACCGCGATGCGGCGGGAGGTTCCCAGTGGCGGGGGATGCTGGGTATTCACAAATCAGCGCGTATTTCACCCGCTTCTAGCCTTCAGCTGCCTCTGTGGAAAATCAGGCCTCGCGCGCGGGAACACTAGTGCTGCGCGCTGCTCGAGCGCTTCCGACAACAGCTGGACTCAAGTCACGCTTGTGCCGAGCAGGGGGGAGGTGTTTATAGTCATCCATTTTCTAAACCGTTTAATCCAGTTCAGGGTTGCTGGGGAGCTGGAGCCTATCCCAGCAGGCAACTGGCGCAAGGCGCACACACACCCACACCAGGGCCAACTAACCTACTGTACCAGCATGTCTTTGGATTGTGGGAGGAAACCAGAGCACCTGGAGGCAACCCACACAAACACAGGGAGAACATGCAAATTACTCGAGTAGCAATCAAAGATCCGGGCTTAAACCAGGGCCCCAGCGCTGCGAGGCAGCAATTTTCACTACTGAGTCACGGAGCTGTATTTTACAATGCAACTTTATTAACAGTTTCAATGTATTTTAAAGGGAATTTATCTAGTGAAAGCAGCTGTATTAAGAATTAAAGCCTAGGCACAAATACAACTCAATACAGCATGGGTCAAGACCCCCCCCCCCTTCACCCCTCACCCCCAAAACCAGGCACCCATGCATGCTGGGAAAGCAATCTAGACTATGCGCCAAGCACAAAACCCAGCAGACTGCTTATGGTATGACTCAGAATGAGCGATGGGCATCACACAGGGCCTTCCCAACACGATCATCCAGAAAACCGATAAGCTTTACCACAAGTCTGGAGTATGTACTGAGAGCAACAGAGATAAAACACTTAAATCTCTTCCTGCTTCAATACAGGAGAAACATCTGACCTGATAACTCCAGCTCATTCAAAGATAAGAGATAAAGGCAGACAGGCAGGCAAGATGGCTGTGGGTTCTGTAGCCGAGTTCTTTCTGGCCTCACCCGAGAGAAAAGAGGGTTCAGGAAACAGGCGAGTCACAGAGATTTACAGCCTCCTACTGTCTCAGGAAACAGACAGCTGAGACCCACCAGAGGAAATCAGACAGGACGCTGATAACACTGTGGGCAACATCAGTGCTGTCAATGGAAAGGAGATGTATATATACACACACACACATCAAGTCTGAAAAATGTACAAGCATAGAAGTTCATAAAAGAAGCTCTGCATGCTTTCCATGTTTAACTTTTGCTTTCTCTGTTCAAGAGCTATTTTTTCCCAATTAACATTAGAGATCCCAGCTCCTCCCACCCCCCTGCCTCCACCGGGTTAGAGCTAATCTCAGACTCTGTGGAGACATAGGTTTGCTCAGAACACCACAAATCAAGATCAAGTTTCCTGGACTTATTTAGACGCTGGATGCACAAAGCAGGGTGGACAGATCACGGGGCCTTTGTTCCAGTCTAAGACCTGGGGCACAACTTTGTGTTTGTGGTCGCTGGCAGAGCTCAGTGTCAATAAAGATTTGCAGTGCAACTCAACTAGTCGGTCGGTCTCTTAAGAAAGATAACAGACAAGAAGAGTTACTAGGACCATCTGTCCATTGGGTAGTTAGTAGCTAATGGATCTGAGGATGTGATCCAGCTGTTTCCTGAGAGGATACAGGGTATCGGCTTTGAGTAACAGCAGCTTGTTCCACACTCCCACCACCCTTTGGGTAAAGAAGTGCCTCCTGTTCCCAGCTTTCACTTGTGCTCACTGGTTCATGTTTCAATGCTCATTCTTAAGAAGTACGGTGGGTTGGTTTCGCCAAAGCCCTTGAGGATTCTGGATGACTCGTCTCAAGTGTTTAAGATCCTAAAAGTGTCAAGAACCGCTTAACCCAGAGATCTGGACATCGCCAGGCTGTCACCTCTCCGACCCTGCAGCCCAAGAACTACAGGCTCCCCCTCTCAGCCAAGACAGAGATTTCAAAATGATCTGCGAAACAAAAAAGATCTTCCACACCCACATGGTCTGAAGCTAGAAAATGTTCACAGCTGCGCTTTCTGAAATCTGCACGATTTCCTGCACAGCCTTCAGCAACAGGCCTGCAGAGGCTGCAAGCTGGGGTTCTGTGCGGCTGGAGGCACCGGTCCTTGCGCTAGAGACCCCGATGAGCAACACGGGAAATGACTCGCCCCCGCCCCCCCCCCTCCCAGCCCCCCCCCCCCCCCCTCACTCACTCCAGTCCCCGCCCCCTCACTCACTCCAGTCCCGCCCCCCTCACTCACTCCAGTCCCAGCCGAATCAGACGCGTCTCTAAAGGAAGCAGGCTGATCCGTTTGCAGCCAGCGCCTTGAGGTCCCACGGCGTGCTGTGCTTTTTAAACCAGGGGAACGAGCCTCCCGCTGCAGAGCAGGCTGATCCGTTCCGGAGTTTAGAAGCCGCCAATTGCGATTCCAGCTGCTTCCAGCCAAGGCAGGATTTTAAGTCTGGTCTTGCAGAAACAAGACGCAGACGGACAAGGTCCGCGGGGTGAGCGTCAAGCGACTCGCTTTGCTGCCCCACCCGCGGGAACCGCTAAAAGGAAAACCCGGCACCGGATTACCCTTCCATCCCCACCCCTATCCCCAAAACGCTGCACCTGGGCCAGGGTGCCAGGGCCGGTACACGAAGGCTCACCCACCTGGCGTGACGGAGGGGGGCAGAGCCGCACGCATGCCCGAGGTGCTGTCCAGGGTCAGGGGGCCACCTCCTCCTCCTCCTCCTCCGTTCTCAGGCGCCGCGCTCACAGGGGGCGGGACGGGCACGGTCACGGGCGCAGGCGGCAGTGGCGCTGGCACAGGGAGGGGGCTGGGCGCAGCGCTCCGGCTCAGGGTCACGTGCTGCGGGCTGCCGTGTGGGGAGGAGTAGGCCTGTGCGGGGGGGGTCATCATCTGGCGCTGGGGCTGAGACATGGGGTAATAGGGCATGCCGTTGGTCACCATGCCGTAGTGCTGCTGCTGCTGCTGCTGAGGCTGGTGGTGGTGGTGGTGGTGATGATGGGGGAGCGGCTGGGGCTGCTGCTGGTGATGCTGGGCGGGGGGCATCTGGGCATGCACCTGGCTCGGGTACGTCCCGTACACGCCATGCGAGTTGTAACTCATAGGCAGGGGGGAGCTGCTCTGCTGGTGGCTGGGGCTCCCGCTGTTCCAGTACTGGGCCCCTCTCAGGGTGACGTTGGGAGGTGGGGCCGCCACCGCCGCCGCGGCGGGGGCCTGCCGAGCTGAAGCGGCCGAGACCGCCGTCGCCGTCGTCACCGCCGCCCCCACGCCCCCGTTGAGCTGGTACTGCGCGTGTCCTTGGAAGTGCTGCTGGGGCGGCGCCGGCTGCTGCTGCTGCTGCTGCTGCGGCTGCGGCTGCGGCTGCTGCGGTTGCTGGGGCAACTGCATCACCCCGCCTCCTGGGCTCTGCTTGTGGTGCACGCCCACCCCGGGCCCCGCCCCCTGCCCCGCCCCCATGGCGGGGACATACTGAGACTGGTTCCACAGGTAGTCGTAGCCCAGGCCGGTCTGGTGGTTGCCCATCAGGGAGTAGGAAGGGTGGGAGGAGATGTGGGACCCAGCCGCGCTGGTCCCGATTACAGTAGTGATGCCGTTCACATTCAAGTCGCCGTTCAGATCTGGAACAGAGGGAGAGAGGCAGGGGTGAGCTTGTACACATTTGGGCATCGCTGGGGAGATTCTCCGCCTTCAGATCAGGAACTAAACCATCTTTTGCCCTCCGTTTCTCGGGGCTTTGTTAGAGAAATAAAAAGACCACCTGCGGCACCGGCCATCTGTTTCCGAGCGTTTGGCGACGTGAAAGCCGCAGCGCTAACGAGCCGGGGATGAAGGGGAGGATGCTCGCAGCAGACAGGCAGGGGTCTGCCCTGTCAAGCCCTCTGCCCCTCCTGAACTCTCAGTCCTCGTCACAAAACCCGCGGACGCCGATGCTCTCGGACAGGGGCCAAGGCGGGCAGGTGGCACCTCACAGGTGGCGTCTCGGCTGGACTCGAGGCTCGGGCTCCGCCAGCTGGCGGCTTCAGTCGCCACTGGTTTCAACATCTGGACCGGAGCCTGTGATCAATTAGCTCCCCAACAGGCCAGATGGGTCGAATAGCTCCTCTCGCGCGTGAGCTTGCCAGTGTTCTTAAGACTGCTGACAAACAGGCACTAAACAGTAAGGCTGCGAACTGGGGTCACTGCTGCTCCCTTGCTGTTGACCTCCTGTGACTGGCTCTTTCCTCAGACAGGCTCGCTCTCCCTGTCCCTTTTCCCTGCGCGACGCCCCTTTAACGCACACGAGCGATGGGCCCATTGCTAGCGAAAGCACACCTCTCAGACAGCAGTGTTAGCTAAGGGAGGAAGGCAGCGGTGCGGAGCAGCGGCCAGGGCTGGTCACTGGAATCCCAGGTGAGACACGGCTGCTGTACACAAAGTGCTCCAGTGAAATCCCCAGCTGTACGAACAGACGCTCTAAAAACACGTAACGAATGAAGGAGCTCGCAGACTGTAAGAGGAAAAGGAGGATACCTGGAGGAAACCCACGCAGAACACACAAGCTCCACCCAGACAGCACCCCGGTCTGGAACTGACCCCAGGACCCCAGTGCTGCGAGGTGGCAGCCCAGACCACAGCCCCACCGTGCTACCTTGCCAATCTGATATAAATGGGCACCGTGTCCCTCCATCGCCCGCAACTCCAACAACAACGGGCACTGCAGCTGTCCCTCCGCCCCCGGCCCCTCTGGGAAAACCCACCCAGGGAGACCGAGGCGCCCCCGCGAGACGCGCCCATCTCGGCGGACTCACTCTTCGCTTGCTGGGGGAAGCTCATCGAGGACCCGTTAGTGTAGAGAGACTCCCCCGAGGAAAGCTTCAGTCCTGAGCCGGCGGGCGCCGAGGGGTGACCGCCAAAGTTAAAATGGTTGTCCGCTTCCATGACCTGCAAGAAGAAAAAAAAAAAGACAGGCACTAAGCACGATGATGCACAGTGAATGGACAAAAAAAAACAACAAACATCCCTCTGTCTTCCAACCACTTCTTCCAGTTCAGGGTCACAGGGGAGCTGGAGCCTTTCGAGCAGGCGAGGCAGGGTACACCCTGGACGGCACGCCAGTCCATCACAGGGCAAACACAGACAGACACGCTCACACCAGGGCCAGTTTTTCCAGAAGCCAGTTTACCTCCCAGCATGTCTTTGGACTGTGGGAGGAACCTGGTGGAAACCCACACGAACACAGGGACACCACGCAAACTCCACACAGACAGCACTCCGGATCCAAAACCAACCTGGGGGGCCCCTGCACCGCGCCACCCATGACGCCCACAAAACCACCACAACCTCTCCCTCGCCAGCCTGTGCCTCACAGCCTGTTTTCTCACAGGAGAAAAGGCACAGCGGGCCTCCAGCGGTGCACACCAGGGCTGCACTGGAAAAGAAAGCCCACACTGCCTGCGAGCGGACGCTGCGGACTCATTAACCGCACAGAGGAAAGCGGTCTTTTTCTTTTTTTGGCCCGAGCCGCTCTGAAGATGAACTCCTGCCGGTTGCGACTACCACCGAGAAGATATTCTGGGAAAAACACATCCGGAATACTCCTACAATCCGTTTCTCCCCCCACCCCACCCCCCCCCAATATTCAGGAGAGGGTTTAACCTCCAAGCTTCATTCGGGGGAGAGGGGCCAGAGGGCGCGAGGCTGGGCAACACTCCCAGGGGGTCACCAGGTCGCTGCGGGGGGCAATCCGAGGACGCCAATTACCCTGGACTGCGATATCTTCAGAATGCAGGAAGAAACCAGGAACACAGGAACACAGGAACATGCAAGCTCCACACAGACAGCCACAAACACACTCAAGACCTGGAGCTCTATGGCGCTAAAATCCCCGTTTGTAACCACTGAGAAAAAAAAAACTACAGGACTCCCATCCAGTTCTGGTCTCAGGCGTGATTGTGCAGGGGAAAGAACATGAATCCAACTGCTCGGCATGCGACAGTCCTGGCTGCTACCCCAGCCCAGGTCCTGAAGCAGCACCGTCTCTTCGGGGTTTTGCTCCAGCTGAGATCTCAATCACAGGCTCACTCGTTTCAGCTCTCCTGTTGGGGGTGTAATTTGCAAATCTACTTTCGGCACTTTTTCGCTCAGATGAGGTGGGCAATTGGTATTTCAGAGGTCTCAGAACTGCCCTCATTCAGGCGCGCTGCGTGAAAAGTAACCAGACCAGACCTCTGCAGAAGGAAAGAGCCCGCGCTGTGCCTGTGTCTGTCTCACTCCCCAGCCATGTGTGTGCTCCTCACCAACTGATCACCTCGTCAGAGCTGCTGAATCAGAAGGAACAGCCAGCAGGGTGAGGAGAGGCTGTGTGAGGCTCTGGGAGATGAAGCTGTAGGAACAGTGCCCTTCAGCTGGGGTATTTCTGACACACAGGACTGACTGGAGAAACGGGTTCAACTCAAGTCTCAGCCAGCAAGCAGGCCAGTGACTGTAAGTCACCAGTTAGCACTGGAGCTGGAATGAGAACCAGCAGACACAGTGTTCCTGCAGGAACGGGGGTACGCTGGGGTACACTCCAGCAGGTCATAGCTTACTCCAGCTTCAGTAGCCAAGTGCATGGGCACCGGTCGCCAACACTGGAGAACTAGGTCACAGGGTCGCCCCCTAAACATGGAGCAACCGTGGGAGACAGGAGCCAGCAGGGTAGGGCAGCCTGCTGGAGACCAACAGCAGCATCTGCACTCAAACCCACAGCCCTCCAGCTGGGAGACCAGAGCCCCGAGCCCTCTGCCCCGGGCTCCCAGGACCAGGAGCAGCCAGCCTGGGATAGAGAGAAGAATGGGGCTCCCAGAGATCCCCTCCTCCCTCCAGGACCCCGTCCTTACATCAAGGACAGCACAGGGGTGACCAGACCCAGCGCTGGGGAGGGGAAGGCCTGTCAGGTTCGGTCATCCATCATTCAGTAAAATGCGCCAGCCCGATTAATGGGGGCCTCGCTGATCACACCGGCCCAAAGGCCACCCTCTTCTTTGTGAACGTTTTTATGGTCACCGCTCACGTTACAGCGTGCTCCCGGGCAGGGCTCAAGGATTCTGGGATTTTCTTCAGAGCTGCGATTCCTGCAGGACTGAGGCTCGCGAGGGAGCCGCGCTGGGCACGACGGGACTGAGGCGGAGAGGCGAGAGATGTAACTGCCACGGCTCTGGCCGCCCGCTCCACTCGCGTCCCTCGTAAGAGGGTCCAATAATAACGAAAAAAAAATACTTCACACTCGCTCGGGAAGTCATCACCCGTTCCCAGATATTGTTTCTCAGAGAAAATAGCGCCCCACATATTTTGCAAAAGCTGACAAAATTATTTTGTTTTTCGATTTTACCGACTCCACATCCCACGTAAAATAAGGCATTTTGATATTTAATCAAATGTAAACAGCATTTCATCAGTTTGTTTTAAAAAAATAAGACGGAGCAGGTGGGGGGGAAAGTTGAGTCCCTAAAACGTGCGATATTTTATTTTTTCGCCTGTTCTTACAGGCGCAGCGACGACTCGCTTCTGCATCATTTGCTGTAATGCAACGCACAAGCAGGCAGCAATTGGCCAGCGTACAAGAAGCGAGCAGGCGTTGTCATCTGCGGGGCGGCTGTGTCACGATCGCCGACCAGGACGACATCACGAACAACAGCACTTCCACAACTCCTAAAATGTCGCAGCTGCCGAGTCCGCCCGGGCAGCCCCGCTGCTAGGCAGCGATGCGATGCGCGGGGCCGGACCGGACCGCACACCGTGCGCCGGCCGCCTCGCTGCTGCCGCTCCGAGGGGCTCTGGCCGTCGAAGCCGGGGAGCTCTCCATCGTTTTTAATCCGAAAATGAGTGTTTGTGTCCCCCCCCCAACCCCAGAAATACCCCCACAAAAAACACGCAGCGAAAATGCGGTGTTGTTGTTTACTGGATTAGAAGGAGACATTGAAGAAAACTGTTCGGTGGCTACCTTGTTTGTTACACACCGACAAAATAGCTCTGGATGGGTATACATCGCCTCATGAAATGTTTAAATGCCTTCTCCCTCAATCAATAAGCCCGACCGGTTTAGAAAATGCGGCCATTATTTTTACACGTACATTTAAAACTCCGCCTGAACAAGCGAGGAACTCCGGCCGCCCCGACCACGCGTTCAGAAAATGAAAACAAGCCCCCTCTCTCCCTCAAATCAAGTCCCAAAAAATACACGGACCCCTCTTGGCGTCTCCCTAAAACCGCTAACCGCAGAATAACGAAAGTAAGCTCACGGATTTCCCGTCGACACAGAGGAAAAAAAAGAAAACGAAAATTACTCCGGCAACCTTTAGTAAACGCGACAACTTTATAACCAAAACAGAGTAAAACACGAAAAAACCACCGAAATGGCGAAACGGAAAACGGGCAGAAAACGTGGCAGGTTAACAACGAGGGAGCCATCGTCGCCTGGCCCCTCCGTGTGCCGACTGGATGCGTTTAAACTTTTTTCATTAAAACTTTTAAATAATATAAATGCGTGTTTTCGGGAAACGAACCCGGGCCTTTCTCTCAGTATTACACTGCAAAAAAGCCCGTTAAGGTCCCAGATCGCTTTACTACTTCCGAAACACAGCCCCCACTCACCCACGGAACACAGTATCGGGGAAAACGTCCCGAGTAAAGACCAAGAAATTATTTAGTAAAAAAACATCATTTGTTACCTAAAACATGAAAATGGCACAAGGCCTCCGGCACCAATTGAGGCCTCGTCTTTATTAGACAGTGACTAGTCCACATCAAAGGTTATTTATAATTGTTGAAACTTCATTCTCCAATACACTCCGCGACTGCATTCCTCGAAAAAACAACACGATTCAGAAACTTTTTTTGGTTAAAATACTATCTTTTCCCTCCGGGGTTTTAGCATTATAAAAGATAAAAACGTAAAACGATCGTCTTCAAAAACCGGCCCTTTAAATTTCTCCTTACGACCGACAGGCAACTCGGACGCTCCTCTTTTGTTTAATAAACTCGCATTGTTTTTCCCCGTTCGCTCACAGTGGAGAAATTTTGAAACAGCAACTGCACACACACACACACAGAGCTCCAAAAGTTTGCACAGTAAAAAATTAAAATAAAAAAATCCCCACCTCCTATTCCTTGCTTATCAAAGACACCAGTGCCTTTGAGCTTTCGAGGGAAGTCCGGGTACAGTTCGGAAAGGGGATCGTAGGTCAAAATAATAAAACAGGTAATCGCTAACCTTTAGGTTCCAAATTAGCAAACATGGCTGGTGTATTTGAGTGCAGCCATGATCATTGAAAAGAAAGAAATTCAACCTAAAGGAAGTGAATGGTGCTATACACACCGCGGGACGCCAGGCTGCCCCGGGTCCTAACGCCTGCCTGACACAACAGTGGCTGATGCCTGCTGCCACATTTCCTGGCTAGAGAGTCCCTTTTGGAGAAATCCCTCGGAAGAAAGGCCCTCGATTTTAAAAATAACCCTAACCCAAAAGCCTGTGATTATTATAGCCGTACGGCTGTCAGGATTAACATATTAAAAGCCACAAAAGACGGATCTCCTGTAAGCGCTACCAGAGCTGAGTCTCTCTGAGAGGGGTTATTTTAATACAATGCTAACTTATTCAAAAAGTTATTTTTATGGTAAGGTTGGGAGAGAAAAGCTTGTCAGTTTCGGGGAACCCCCAGTTGAGAATCCCTGGAGATGAGCAAAAACAGGTCAACTTAAAGAGTTTGTTTTGACTATCGGTCACTCGCTCGACCAGGTGTGCTTCCATTCCACCAGACTGCGTTAAAATAATTCCTCCGTGCTAGAGACAGGCGTCTTTGCACTGTAAACACTAAACCCCTTTACAGGCAAGACACCCTTTGGGGGCGAGGAAACAGGTAGGACTCCGGTTGCTCAGCAGTTTAATCCATTTTAGATTTTGCCATCTGAAAATGACCCCAATCCAGCAGACCTGTTGTTCAGCATCCCTGTAATCTTCACTCCTCACACCTCTGCCAGGGAGCTCAAAATCAGGTAGCAAGCCTGGACTCTCCTGCACCTGGTGCTCACTCAGAATATGCAGCCAGCCTGCAGCTGGTAAAAACCAAAATGCATCAAACTGCTAAGGAACTGGAGTCTGATGTTTCTCTGAAATGTAATGAATTTCTGCACACGTAGGCTTTAGTTTTGTCATCTCAAGGGTTAGCTGGTAGGAAACACTAATGCAGAACCCTAAAGCAGGGCTGCACAGTCCCGATCCATGCAAGGGCTGGGTTCCTCCTGGTTTTCATTCCAGCTCATAATAATCTCTGCTCACTCAAACCCATTTAACAACTTTAGAAGCTGGTGCTAATATGGCAGTTTATTGCCATCAATAATTTAGCATGTGATTGTCAGCTGCCACTTTTTTAACAAGGCAACACCATGGCAGGGTGAAAGATTGTAACTTGGCGATTCAACCTCAAAAAGAGACTTAAATGGTTTGGGCATCCAAATATCACGATCTCACCTCTCAAACTGCAATCTGTGCTCACAGAGTTACACTAGGCCATTCATACAAAACCTACAACTGATATCATAATCAAAGAAACACCAACGCCTGCCTACCATATGAAAAACCCACACCAGCAGCAGAGCCTTATTCACTGCACAGCTGTATAATGTACAGCATTTCATTTTCCACAGCACACCTTGATTGGTCCTGTACCCTTTGCCTGTGTGGGGCTTGATCTAATCAGCGCTCAGCTGCAGAGGAAATCCGAACGTTAGCACTGCAGGCAGACAGGAGGCCCCCTGAAGGAGGGTGATGTCTGCAGGTACAGGCTTTGAGCTCTAAAGAGGTGGGGGCCACAGCACCACTAATGCTGCTGCTACAGCTACTGCTCCTATTACTCCTATTGCTACTGTAGCTACTGCTCCTACTGTATATCTACTGCTGCTCCGGCTGGTGCTCCTATTGCTCCTACTGCAGCTACTGCTCCTATTACCCATATTTCTACTGCAGCTACTGCTCCTATATCTATTGCTGCTCCAGCTGGTGCTCCTATTACTCCTACTGCAGCTACTGCTACTTCTGCTCCAGCTGGTACTCCTATTACTCCTACTGCAGCTACTACTACTGCTGCTCCAGCTGGTGCTCCTATTACTCCTACTGCAGCTACTGCTACTTCTGCTCCAGCTGGTACTCCTATTACTCCTACTGCAGCTACTACTACTGCTGCTACAGGTGGTGCTCCTATTACTCCTACTGCTACTGTAGCAACTGCCTCAACACTACATCTACTGCTGACACTACTCCTCCTCCTGCTGCTGCTGCTGCTACAATTCTTCCTACTGCAGCCACTGCTGCCCCTAGTGCTACTATACCGTATATACAGTACTGCTGCTACTACACCTACTGCTGCCACTGATACTCCTATTGCTCACCACTGCACTCACCAGCTGTGCAGCCGGGAGGTAACTACTACTACCTTCTTGTCCCACACTCACAAGCTCCCCTCAGCTTTGGTACTACAGGTAATTATGTCCAAATGATAATCAGCTCTGGATAATCATTCTGCTCTTGGTGAAAGGCGTGCAGCTATCCTCAGAGAGAAGACAGTCCAACTAAGTCTTGAGGGTGTTGGCACAAGAGTATTGCCCTAAGTCATGTCACACTGCGACTTGGACACTTACATTATGCTATTAGACTGCGCTTAGATTGATCCGGTCCGTGTTATTACCAGCTCCGGCACTCTGGTAAAAATGCCAGCTCCCAAGACTGGAGATTTCAGGCTTGTTATTTTATCATGGAGGAAATCGGCTTCGACTTCTCAGATTCGTCGGGGGCAGCTGGTAAAAGCTCCTTTAAGTCAAATAAGGCGTAAAGGGAGTTTGGTCCATATTTCCCTTGATCACTTATTTGAGACCACGGCCGCATGCTTGAATACTTGTACGGGTCTCGATCTGAAGGGTGACAGGGATTGTTAAGCAGTGCATCTCAGGCTTGTCGGCTGTGTGCTCTGCTCGCAGTCCTTGAGAGAGGGCAGAGACCCCCGAAAGCGAAGGAAACGACGCGTCTGCGCGAACTCGGACGGCAGCAGGACCCGGCGGAAGCCGGCGAGAGGCAGCAGGAAGTGATACCGCACGCGCACGGCCGGAGACAGAAAGACGGGGACACAAACAAGGGGGATGAAACGAAACAAAATGGATTTCAATTAAAAAAAATAACCGTTGGGGGAAATTAGATAACGCGGGCGGCTTTGCCAAAAACGAGCCCCCCCCCCCCCTCCGCCCGCGAGCGTTATCTAAATTAGCCTTACCTCCCGGGTCCAGTTATAGACGGTGGTTTCGAAAAGGAGAAATTTGAAAGAGAGAAGTATTGTAATGAATTAAGTTTTCTCTCTCGGCTTCTTTTCTTTTCCGCTGCGTCCTCCTCTCGCCTGCCCCGTCCGCGTCGCTGGGTCTGCTCCTGCGCCGCTCGCCTGGCGGAGCCGAGCCGAGCCGAGCAGGTGGTCAGCGGCGCCCGGGCGATGCGGTGATGTCACTGATTCGCGCGATGTGCAGCGGCACGGGTCTGGCGCAGACCGGGGAGAGGACACCCACACTGGACAGTGCGGACCAGCCTGGGGGAGACGGCGAACAGCCAGGGGGAATCGCACTCTGAAATGCACACGTTTTAACATGCACGTCCCGATGCGAGAGTGCTAGGAAAGCGAGTGAGGAGAAACGAGATTTGAGAGTTCTTCCTTTGCAGGGATCCGAGCGTCTTACTCTTTTTTTTTAATTGCACTGTTCTGTCTATAATATGATACACCGCCCCCCGTCTCCACATTAATTAATGTGAATAATTTGCCACAGACGCACCGAACCATTTGAATGATTTTTAAAAGAACAATTTTATGCCTTTTTGATGCATGGTACCCGGCATAATATTAAGTAGTAAAATAAATACTGCCATAAGTGAAAAATGTTTTTTTAACTGTCATCAAAACAACTAGATACTCTGGGATAGGGTGAGTTAAGTCGGAAGAAAATATGTAAAGAACTCACCCAAATCCACAATTGCACCTTTGTGTGCAGGCAAAGACGATATTGTAAACGCTTTATTTTTAAAGCGAATATGATTTTGAATTACGGTAAAATGTGAACCCACAATTTGTGTACGACGTCCGGCAGTAACACTGAGAGAGAATTCCTTTAAACCAAAGGCTACCTAACATTTCTAACATTTGTGTCGGTCTCTATAAACATTAAAGAGTATTGCCTTAAACTAGCCTTCCCCTTAGCAATGAAACAAATACCTTCAGTGAGATTAAAACAGGGTGGCACCGTTAATATGCTCGCTGCCTCGCAGGACTGGGGCGCTGGGTTCAGTTCTTGTGGTGCTGTCTGTGTGGAGTTTGCATGTGTCTCCTCTGGGTGCTCCAGTTTCCCCCCCACAGTCCAAAGACAAGCTAAAAGGGTTCACTGAGCTCTGGGAGCAGTGCTGGCCCTGGTGTGAGTGTGTGTGCCCGTGAGTCAGTGCTGAGATGGGCTGGCGTCCTGCCCAGGGCGCACCCCATCTGCACCCCCTGCTTGCTGGGGTAGGCTCTGGCACCCCTGCGACCCTGAATCGGAAAACCGGAGGCGTGGGATTAAACCAATGAATTTACTACTGTGACCTCATTTACTGTCCGTTCCATGTCAGTTTCTTCTATTCTAAGACTTGTGCTACACTAGTCAACACAATTATAACCTCAGGACTACATACTGTATCTCTTCAGAAGGCTGTATGTGCTGTATTGTGTTTTGAATGTAAAGTGACCTTGAATGGAGGGATTGGACTACAAGAGATTAGAAGGAAAATATGATTGCATTAAGAAGATCAATTAGATTACAAAAACAATTGGCTGAAACACACAAGGATGCAAGATGGAAACAACAGGTTTCATGTCCACACTCTTCGGACAGAAATTGTGTATAGGTGGTGTGAAGCGCCCCTGATTTTATTGAATTAATGGCCTGAATTTTAAAAACTAGCTCATGCAAGAACAAAACCACAAAGACGAACTGAATCGACACCTGCTTGCTCTTCGATGATTTTTCAGAGAAAACCTCAGGGTTACAGAGGGGCTCAATGACTGGGGATGGTGTCTGGGCTGAAGCAGCTGTTGTCAAACTTCGTATTTCTCCCCCTCAGTTGGAACTCTGTATGCACTGGGGTGTGTAAAATGTCATTGCTTTTTTGCTTTGTCTGCTCTAATTTTTATTTTAAGTGTTATTGCTCTTTGATCTGCTACTTCGTCGGTTTACATTGACTTTTTAATGTTCTATCTCATATTTATTTTTCTTATCCTGCAGTGTTTTTTGAAGGCTGGTGTCCTTGAAAGGTATTGTATAAAAGCACAGTTGACTGATAATAATCAGTCCTTCCATCCATGATCAGAAAGTCACTTATTCCTGTTCAATGTTAAGGCAGCTCGAAGCTTATCTCCAGCAGAGGGTGCGAGGCGGGACTCTCCTCATTATGCAATGCGAGACTTCACTCTACATGGGACTCCAGTCCAGGATGTGTTCACGGACATGCATCCAGGTGGATGCTGCACATTGGTGGTGGTGGAGGGGAATCCCCATTACCTGTAAAGCGCTTTGAGTGGAGTGTCCAGCAAAAGCGTTATATAAGTGTAAGCAATTATTATTATTATTATTATTATTATTATTATTATTATTCAGGCATAAATTAGAGACTGCAAGTAAACCAGCAAGGTGGTTGCCTTTGGGAGGTGGAGAGAAATACAACACCTGGACAGAGGAATACCATGCAAACTCCGTACAGAAGGTACTCCAGACCAGAATCCAACCTTGTTTCCAAAAACAGTGAGGCAGCAGTTATTACAACAACAACAATAAACACAGATACAAACACACACTCACACCAGGGCCAGTTTTTCCTGGAGGAAACCCATGTCAGCATGGGGAGAACTTGCAAACACCACATATTTAGCCTGCCAGGGCCCCAGAGCTGCCCTGCAGCAATGCTAACAACTGCGCCACCAGTACCATTATCGACATTAATAATGTTGCTACTGGTTTCAGTTTTAAAAATGACCATTCTTTAATGTGATTTCGATTGCTTTGTGATACACTTGCACGCTCATCCTCTTGCAGATACAAACTCCATGGCGCATGCTGTCAGAAGTGCAAGGCTGTAGCGAGGAGGACTATGGTTCAGAGGTGAAAGGTCAGGACCTTGCCTTTCCACTCTGCTGCCAGCTCTCCCTGTGGTAGTTTGACATTCTGGCCAGTGGGTGTCGCTACACACCCACCACAGGCTGATTTTTTTCAATTCATGGGAAGACCATGCCTGATTCAGCTATTTGCAGTGGCTTTCCTCTAATGTATATTATAACTGTACAGAGGGGCATGACGGCCACAACAAATGCCATGCAGTAATTCAGTCCAATCCAGTTCTTGAAGGAACAAGTAATAGGTTTATTCCATGCTGAAAAAAAGAAGAAAGAAAACACAACGTTTCGGCCGTGGAGCCTTCTTCGGGTGAGAAGCAAGGTCAGCAAGCACACCTGAAGGAGGCTCCAAGGCTGAAACATTGTTTTCTTTCTTTTTTTTTCAGCATGGAATAAACCTATTACTTGTTCCTTTGTAGCCTACGCATGCTGACGCAGCTTCTCACCAATCCAGTTCTTATTCACTGCTCAATTGATTTCAATAGCCTATTTCACAAGGTGAATCTGGATTTGTAATTGGTACCAACCTAATCGATAAGCTTCAGACCAGCCCCCGTTCAGGTGTGAACTGCGTGGATTTAAGCGATAGGAAAAGGGCAGGCATGTCGGTCCATCATAAACCAATCTCCTGTTTGAGCTTTTTAGTTAATAAGGGTAGAAAGTTCTTAATCAGCAAGTTGAGGTGAGGCTGCATCAAGTTCTGTGTGCTGACTTTGTTATACTTTGCCCTTATCACTTTTGAAAGCAAAGCCTGAAGGCAGAATAGACTAAACAAGCAAGCAGATCAACTACAAGCACTACATTAACGCCAGTTACCAGTGAAACTACCCAGGAGCAGGACAAGACAGAGATTGACAATGCTTATTGGTCCCAAAAGTCAACTGTTTCATTGTTGATGGCTCTGAGCAGTACACATGTACACGAAGGCTGAAGTCACCTAGTCTCCACAAGACAGTTTCTTCTTCCGAGGTTCATTAATTTCTAAAATTCCGACTTCTATCTAAAAAGGTACTTTTTATACCTCTTAGATCTTGGAAGTAGGATGACATTCTCAACACTGAAAAACGTCTCGGGGCAATCACGTTTTGCAACTAGTGCATTGCTCCATGCCTCTTCTAAAAGTGAAACGAAAGTGAAAGTAATCCTAAGCTACTTTTGTGGGGGTTTCTATTTTAAATTGTGGGCTCAGCAGAATTTACACACTCCTCCTCAGCCAGTCTTGCCTTGGAGGTGCACATTACTGCAGGCTCATTCAGGCTTTGGGGTGAGAGTCTACCCCTGCTTCCAATCCGCTCCTCACTTTCAGACATGGGCTCTCGGCCGAATCTCAGCTGATGACCCAAACCTATTTGAAAAGGCAACCTTCTCTTCATTTATGTGCAGCCCCATATAATTAAAACACCCAAATATATCAAGGATGCCACTTTCTGCAATGGTGACCATCCCTTCTATGCATGTGTAGTGCCTCTACCTAATGTATAAAGTCAAAAGTGGTTAATACATAAATCTCACTAATCTTGATTTTTGTTTTTAAAAAATTAACTATGAGCATCATAAATGCACACGGTAACAGATCTTGACAATCTATACCTGCAATAATAAGGTTGCTCAAATCCAATAGTTGGTTCAGTTTCACAATGATAGTTGTGATCATTTCACTATTAGTTCTACAAATTTGCTGTAGGGTGACACTACTAGTCAACCACACCAAAATCACCCAGCATCTGAACACCTTCTTCCCCACGGTCACTTCTGAATCAGAACACATGAGTCTGGGATGTGGTGTGTATATAATTGTGGACCTTGCGCGTTCTTTGGGTGAAGTGTATGTGTACATTTATTTCTGTTTTTGCACCAAGGCACCAGATCAAACTCCTTATACATGTAACATACTTGGCAAATAAAGAGATTCAGATTATAGTGCTTGGTACCGTATGCATTCATCATCATTTAAAAATGTGATACTGACAAATCATTTTAGAAAGAGGGTGCCAAGATTAGAAAGGTCATCGACAACCCCGAACTGCCTGAAGTCAAAAGACTGGCAATGGGTTAACAGACCAAGGTAACATGCTGCTTGCTACCTTGAGGAGAAACAAGAATCACTGCACCCTTCATTGCATTTTCATCGTGCCCATAGCCCAGAGGCCCTTCACTTGCTTTCTACACATTGCACGCATCTTCTGGGTGAAGACGCAGTCTTGCTCCAAACTCACCACGGGAGTACTGTCTTTCCTCATCGCAACACCAAGTGAACAACAGGCCAGGGCAGTGTCAGAATGTGGAGGTATAGTAAAAGGAGACTGCAGGATACCAGTGACACAAGGGTCAGGGGAATAACACGAGACCAGCGTTCTACCACCTTCCCAAGAAGATGCCAAGTAGCCCAACACATACACATTCCATTGCATGTTACCGGCAACACTGCAGACAGACATACAAAAATGAAATGTGAGTCTCAGACAGTTTATTAGAAAGATGTAGACAATAAAAAAAATTCCTCACTGCATTCAACATAAACTGAAGTTCTTCAGCCTGTGAAAAGCTGACAGGTTGACATACATAAGAATAATGTATTATCTTATATTTTCTATTTCCACACCTGGCATATTCATAATCAATATTCTGACAGTGCAAATACAATTTGGTCATCTAAACGTACACTGTATTCTTTGTCTAAAATCTGGGATTGACAAATGCACAGCACTACTCACTCCTTAATCACTCTTAAGAGTAGTCTTGAAGGCCAAGCTAACAGAGTATAGACTCCTTTGAGCTTCCACTATTCCCTGTTTATATACGGAAGAATGGAAACCACTTCATCTAGTTTTTGATACCTGCTTCCCTTTCCAGTGTGGTAGAAAATCCATGAATGAGTAACAGGAAACACCTTTATTGTACTCCGCATAGCTGCTAATGAAACACTAAGCATGTCAAGGTGATGTCTTCACTGTATTACCAGCTCCAAAGCCGCAGTTTTTAACCAAACAAAACGGAGGGCGACAGCTTAATGAAATACAAAGGATGCAATTAGCCAGGAACCAAACAGAAATGTTTAACTACTGTATTTAAAAATGCCGGAATACTTGATACTGATTAATGTTTTCCCATCATTATAAATCTGCAATTGTTAACATTTCAGAAATAAAAAAACTGCCTGCCCGTATGCACCAGCTAAGACTCTTGCCATACATATATGACAAAAGAATGTGGAAAACCTCATCTTTCTTCTAAATACATTTTAAAGAGAGGGAGGAGAATAATCAACAAAACTGAAAAAGTCGAATAAAATTCTGAAAATCTTTCCTTTGACTGTTGTGAAAACCCACAACATTTAAATTTAAACAAAGCCTGGCTGACTGGAAAAAAGATAAGACATAGCATATTTTATTACGCTTCATTTAAGTTTAAACTTTTTCACACATCTTTCACCATAACCATTGGTTTTCTTCTGTTTAGAAACAATTTACTATACCTCACAACACATGAAAACTGTGAATAGTCCATGCATAATAACAGAACGAGAAGGTACAGCACTGTCGATGTCTTCAGACAGAGCAGTACAGTATGATGGTATGCATATCAACCCTCAGTGAAGCCTTGTTGGAAACTGGTTGTAAATGGCTTTAAGAAATGCAAAAACAATGGTCTTTTGTATGGCTACCAACTCAAATCTATAGCTTTTTTTTTTAATTATTAACAGTTTTGTGATGATTCTACTGCACAGCTGTGTATGGATTCCTTTATTCCTTTACTCCAGGTCTGGCATTTCTGCAAAGAAAACAAAATTGAACAAAATCAGTAACAACACTTTCCCAATAATATATCTAGAACTGTAATTATATATTATGAACACCCACAGAGAACAAGGAACAACTACAGCTCTTGGAATCAGGGACCCTGTCAGCTAGCAGCTTGAAAATAAAACTACATGTCATTCAGAATGCAAAGGAACAGGTAAAGGTTTATTCCATGCTGAAAGAAATACATAATCCAGCTGCATTTGGATTCTTTCAGTGGCTCTGCTAACAGCAATACAACACAGTAACAGAATGCACTTACTTTCATCGTCACTGTCTGCTGATTCCTCCTGAAGGACAGAAACAAAAAGGAAAGGTGAGAACACAGCTCAGGCTAAAAACCAGGATTCGTTCCAGCAAGATTCTGCAGAACAATGGGGATATGAAGCGACACAAAATCTGCCCGTGTCCAGTACAATCACAAAGAAAGGGAAAACTCATTTAATAAATGCTTCTCCAATCGAAACAGCAAACGGATCGCCTTTCTGGAGGGCACAGCTAGGGGTCCACCTCCAAGCCCTGTCGACTTTGGGATCAGCCCTGCAGTGGCAATAAAGCGCCACCTAGTGTCTCATCACATTAAGGCTGAGTGCACTGAACCAGACCTGCAGGTGTCCTTTGATTCCCCCCCCC